GAAGGTCCGGCTGCGTTCTGCCGTCAGTTCCCAGTTCGATGTTTTATTTTTTCTGCTGCTTTAAATATGGATGACAAAGTTTCTTACTCTGCTTTCCTGCAGAATTATTTTCCTTCGATTACCAACAAGAATCCAGATGTAAAGTGATTCTTTAAGATAAAATCTAAAACCCAGAGGATAAAAACGATTGAAGCGATGTGAAGATTGTGTAATTTTAAATTTCAGAAACAAATATTGGATTTACATCCCTTCCTCATCTGTAAACACATCGTCCAAATGAACAGAACCGAAACGTTGAATGGAGAGAATCACACTTTGCTCCATCATGTTGAAGAACAGATTAAAAACCAAAACTAACTTTGTTTTAGTTTTTCTGTAAATTTTGAATTTCTCTCAGAGGAAACATGAACTGGGCACAACTTTTCTCCATCGGTGCCTCCAGGTTCCCTGCATCCCAGAGCTGCTCCAGAACAGAACCGTCTCAGCAGCGCTGCGTTTCTGTCCCAGGTCCGGCTGAACATCCACCCGGAGCTTTTAAACCTGTCAGAGTCATTGGTCTATTTAAGCTGCAGCTGTCCTGCAGGTCTCCTGCTGCAGGCCGTATTTCACACCGTAAGCTGACTTTAATGCACCTGCAGAACCACGAGGCTGCAGCAGCGCCTCTCATTGTGCCTCAGAGAGGCAACATTTAGTTTTTCTATATGCAGCGACGCCAGATCATTACTTGAGCTGTAAACGAGCCGCAGCAGAGAGACGGAGGTCTTAGCAGTGCAGCTCTGGAGGAGCTTGTTAAATTGACTTCCTGTCACCTGGATTGATCGTCGTGGGCTGATCCTGCTGGCCGGATTTCTGGGTCGGAGTGTCTCAGGTGTTTCAGTGCAGAAGCACTTTCTGTGTTTAGTCATGGCTCTTTGGCAGATTTAGTAGATTTTATGCAACTGAAACTAAATAACATGAAAACACAAACATGTCCTGGAACAAGTTACATACAAGTTGCTGCTCTGCAAGAGGAACCAGAGAAATGGATGCACCACAGATTTGAACGAAGATCATCAGGATAAAACACATTAAGAGTCACATGATTTGGACACGAGAAGCATCACTGCTGTCTCCTCTTATATTACGGTGGTGAAGCTACAGCACGGCAAAATAAATCACTGTCAGAAATAACACAGCTGAATAACTTCTCAGACTCGGCGTCATTACAAAACCCAGAACAGCACAAGCAACACAATGTTCGGCACATTAATCTCACATCCTATCCAAATTAATCTGGTCGTTTCTCTCTTTGCTTCAGACTTTCTATGATGCTCATCTGTCTTAAAAAGTTTCTACGTCCTTTATAATGGCCCTGCACACAGGCTGCATTCACACCGGCCATGCAGAACATCTGATCCTTGACAACTGGAGAGCCGGACCGAGGAAAACCCAAACTAAATTGACTGGGTCCAACATCACCAGGTTAGAACCAGATATGAATGTCTGAAAGCCAGGCGCCCAAAGTGGGCGGAGCCCAGAGACCCTGAGAGGCGTGGCCAAGTGTGGAGTTGAGTGGAAAAAAGTCAAAAGACCAACTCAACGCCTCTGAGACCCGTCGAGTGACTTTTATCCAAAACCGCCAACAAATCCAGAGACTTTTTCTGTTTTATGCCGACTATTCTCTGCTGTGCCCTGAATAAGTAATAAACACACTTAGTCTGTTTATCAGTAAATAAAAGCAGATCTAGAGGTGAATTCTGTATTATTCAATATTTACCCATTTCTGCAGTGAATGATGCTCCAAAGGCTAAATAACATCCCAAATGAGAACAGAAAGATAATATTCCTCATTTTGAGCAGAAAAATTATTCAGATTAATATGAATATATTTGGTTTCCACACACTGGTGTGATGAAGACCTGCTGGTTACCAGTCCCAGTAATTACTTTAAATATATGAGTCACTTAACTGTAAAAATAAATACTATCCGTGTTTTCATATTAAGTGTATGATTGCATGTAATTAAATCCATCTGTGTTTTTATTTCTGAGATAAATGAATGTTTTCTGCTCCAGCTTGTGCAGGTAAATGCATTTCTGTCTCCTCATGGAGAACTCTGCAGGTTTTCCCTCCTATTTAAAGGAGACGTTTGAGGACAGTTTGAGATAAACGCTCATTATCTGGGCCACGTTTTGGCAGCACTCAGCGTGACGCCACCGGCAGCGTCTGTCTAGGAAAACGCTTCCACAGCCATCGATGCGACATGCTGAGCTGGTCCGAGTCCTCCAGGACAAACCGCGTCCAACCGGAGACGGAAGACAGATCCAACTTTCAGAATGACAGAATAATCGGCTCTGACTGTTGATGAAAAACAGGCAAAACAAGCAGAAAAATGCTGAAATGTCTCCAGTTTTTGGTGAATAGCAACCTAAAAATACAACAACTCTGCAGTTACTTTCAATACTAAAGCAGAAAATGTCAGAAAACAGAGCAGGAAAAAATATACGGCTATTTTATTACCATAAAGTTTTCTTCCTTTTGTTCCCATTTTTCAAACTGGTGGTGAATCTCATTCAGCCTGATATTGTCTTAAGACCTTGTGCAACTTCTCTGATGGTGGTTAACTAAGGAAACACAAAACATCCAGAAAAGGTTGGAACAAAACGACCAAAACTACGATAGAAAGGATGACGATGTGAAATTAATGATTGAAAGTCATAAAAATTAGTTTTTCAACCACTTTTACATCAGTGTTTGTTAATCCTGTGGGTCCGATGCCATAGGCTGCATTTCCACCAGTCCTGTTCGGTCCGCTTGAACCCAACTCCGGCCTTTTGTCTAGAAAGTCTGGATCGTTTGGGGAGGTGAAAGCGAAACCAAACTCTGGGTCTCCTATAAACCTCAATCTGGGCTCAGTTGTTCAGGCGAACACCAAGCGGACCAGAAACTGCTCCAAAAGCAGGAAGTGGACTACAGCACAGGGCTTTCTGGATAAATACAACCAAAACAAACACGTTAGCCTAGCACTAGCGGACGAATGGGTCGTGTTTTCTTTGCCAAAGATAAAAGAGAAATCCTCCAACCATTAAAATCTGATGCCACTCCATTTTGTTTCCATTTCATGAAGAAGGAAGTTGTGCTCAGCGTCTTTTTCAGAATTGATTCAGAAACGTTTCTACTCAAATAAACCAGAAGTTAGAACTGGAATATCTTTCAGGCTCCAGTTCAGCCTGTTCAAAGAACCAGAGCCGTAAGTCGAAGGCTGCAGCCGACGTGGGAGGCCCAACTGCTGGATTTATGCTAAATCTGCACAGAAAAAAAGCTCAGTTATTATAAATCCTTATCATTTTTGGAAAATACAGATTGCATTTCCTTTCTTCACATCTTCCACATCTTTCTCCCTCCTGTGTGATCTCACTTTTAGTTGTCTGTTTGTTAAAAATCCCTTTTTCCTCTCCAGGAAAGTGAGCGGGCAGATAAGGATCAGTGTTTGGATCAAACCGCTAACTTCCAGACCCAGCAGCTTTGGCTCGGGAACCGCCCGAGGTCCGGTGCTAATTAATCCGGAGATCCTTCTGCTGGCTCAGAGTCCGCGTTTCTCGCCAGGAGTCCTGCCCTCCCCTCCAAAGCCGCTCCGCCTTTTCTCCTCTAACAGTTCAAATCGGAAGTGCAGGTTTCAGGGTGACTTTGAGACACTTTGTTACATCTCATTACCTACTTTTATTCAAACTCTGATTTAATCTGGCTTTAGCTTTATTCAACTGGATCAGACCAATAATGCTTCTTCATGCCCTGAAATCCTGTTGAAAATGTAAAGCAGTGAAACGGTTTTCAGGATGGTCGAAGTCTGGCTGGGAGCCGTTTCAGCGGAGGATCCTCATCCTGAGGGCACGTCAGTGTTCAGACATGAACACAGACTTTCTGAGCTACGTTTAATTAACTAAGGTTGTTTGTTTCCAACTAATTACTCAGCAGGACTTCAGCCGCAGTGCACAGAAAAACTGGAAGGTTTTCAGGATCAAAGATCAACTTGAAAGGCTGCCACTGACCTCTGCAGGTCGTGGTGGGACAACTTTCTGCTTTTTTATTTCTTTTTTTAGGAGCAGATGGCGAGGGTGTTGTATTCCATCTACTTCCTCCCCTCCTTTACTTTTATTTCCTTCTTTCTCTTTAAAGCTTTTCGTCACCTGTCTTTGTGTCCATTTGAAATAAAGCCATTTCTGATAGTTTTACATGTATATTTATATATCGAGTGAAAGTCGCAGCGCTCTGCTTGTGAATGTAAACTTGTTGTGCCTCACATTGACACTCATAACAATTCTGGTTTCCACGCCGTCTCATTTACAATCAGAAAGTCGGCCTGCTATCAACTGAAGAACATTTCCAGGATTAAAACACCAACATCTCAGCAAGATCTAGAAACTCATCCATGCATTTATCTTTAGTCCACTGATGACTGCAAGCATCTTTATAAATCTGCCTAAAAATATCCGACACCTGCAGGTGATCCAAAACGCTGCTGCTGCCGTTCTGACTAAAACCAGGAAGACTGATCACACCACCCGGGTCTAAAGTCCTTACACTGAGACAAGAGACTTTAAAATGCTATTTCTGGTCTAAACCACTGACACCAAACTACATACAAGATCTGCTGGAGTTGTATGAATCTTCCAGACCTCCCTGGTCTTTTGGTTCTGGATCTCGTCTATATGTCCCTAGAACCAAATATGGAGAAGCAGAATTCAGCTTCTATGTACTACAAATCTGGAACAAACCTCAAGACAAATGAAAAACAGCCAAAACTCTGAGTTCCTGTAAATCCTGGCTAAAACCCGCTTGGGTGTAGCTGCTTGTGATTAATCAGATCTGGAACAGTTGACCAAATGTAATGTCTTCATTTGCACAACTATTGACGACGTGTTTGTAATATTTTGGATTTGAAGATGTAAATCATGTTATTCAAGGGAATAAATCCACATAAAGAACAGCAGACATTTATTGTTCTGATCTACAGCCAAAGTATTTAATAGAAACAGCATCAGTTCTAAGTTGTTTCAGTTTCTTGAACAGCAGAGAAGTTCAGATTTTCATGTGGAGAAATAGTTCAGGGTTATATAAGATGAAAGAAAAAAAATCAATGATATACTTTATGGACAACACAGACAATGACATTTAAACCAGAAAAATAAAGAATAGCAGAACAGAGAAGCAGAACAATGAATCCTGACCAACAATCAGAGAAAATCTACTTGGGTTTACAGAACTCTACAGCGTCTCCTGTCCAGCGAAACCAAACTCCAGCATGAAGCGGCTCAGTGAATCTGGTCTGGACTCTGTGGATCAGAGTCATGGATCCAGAGACGCTGTAGAAGGACAGAATACCTGCTCTGTGATCCAGGTACACTCCCACTCTGGAGGAAACTAAACTTGAGATGGAGGTCCAGATGTTGTGACCAAATTGATAACCATCTAAGTAACAATTTACAGCCCAGGATTTGTCATTGCCTCCAAATCCACATTCATTCCCACCTCCGGCTCTGCTGATACTTTTATACGCGACGGCTACAAAAACTCTCCCTCTCCACTTCACCTCCCAGTAACAACGACCAGTTAGTCTCTCTTTACTCAGAACCTGCCAGTAATCAGTGAATCTTTCTGGATGACTTGGATAAGACTGAGGTTGACCCATCGCTGTCACCTTCCTGTTCCCTTCTGACAGAACCAGCTTTTTGTGAGCTGTGTTTGGATCCAATGTGATTTGACATGAATATCTTAAGAAATCAGCTCTGCTCTTTGGTTCTGGTTCTGACAGCAGAACATCCACCTCAGTGACCATCAGTGAGATGTTTGTCCATGAGTCTCTCAGGACGTCCTGTAGTTTGTCTCTGAGCTCTGACACAGCTGCTGCCACGTCCTCAAAGTGTCTCAGAGGACGGATGTTGATGCTGGATGAGTGTGTGGACTCACTGAGTGCTGGCAGTGAGGGGTAGTTGAGGAGAAACTGGTTGTGATCCTCTGTGTGTGAGAGCTGCTCCAGCTCAGCGTCTTTCCTCTTCAGCTCAGTGATCTCCTGCTGCAGCTTCTCCTCAACATCTTTGACTCGACTCACTTCAGTTTCCTGCTGGGATCTGATCTGCTGCTTCACATCAGAGCTTCTTTCCTGGAGGAGACGGATCAGCTGGGTGAAGATCTCCTCACTGTCCTCCACTGTTTTATCAGCAGAGTGACTGATGGCCTCCACCTCCTGTTGAAGCAGCTTCACATCTTTCTCTCTGTCCTGGATTCTCTGCTGGATGTTTCCTCGTCTCTCCTCCAGCTCTCTCTGCCTCTCAGCTCTTTCTGCTGCAGCTGACACTGTGTCATGGCCTTTATGTTCATCTAGTAAACAGAAACTACAGATACACTTCTGATCAGTGCGGCAGAAGATCTCCAACAGCTTATCATGTTTAGAGCAGATGTTCTCATGGAGGTTCTTGTTCGGCTCCACCAGCTTGTGATTCTTTAGTCCAGGGACATCAAGGTGAGATTGGAGGTGATTCTTACAGTAAGAGGCCAGACAGACTAAACAAGACTTGATGGCTTTCAGTTTTCTTTCAGTGCAGAAATCACAGGCCACATCTTCAGGTCCAGCATAGCAGTGATCAGCAGGAGCAGCTTGGAGTTCAGTCTTCTTCAGCTGCTCCACTAAAGCTCCTAGCACGGTGCTCTTCTTCAGTGCAGGCTTTGGTGTGAATGTCTCCCTGCACTGAGGGCAGCTGTGGATTCCTTTCTGATCCTCTTTATCCCAGTGGGACTTAATACAGTTCATGCAGTAGCTGTGTCCACAGGGAATCGTCACCGGATCCTTCAGTAGATCCAGACAGATTGAACAGGAGAAAGTTTCCTGGTCCAGCTGATTCTGCTCCATTTCTGCTCTCAGTCAAGCGACTGTGTGAGTTTCAATTCCTCGGACCAAAAACACAGCTGAGCTCTGATCTACGAAACATGTGTCAGTGCAGAGAGGCTGCAGCCAATCAGCTTTCACCTTCAGCAGATGTTGGGTCCTCCCAGCTTCAAGGTGTGTTTGAGCAGGAAGAACAGGGAGGAATATCAGGCTTTGATTCCAGGAATAATAGGGCTCAAAGTGACAGGGTTTAAAGATTAACCGTCTTCACAAGTTTTCTGTTCAAAACACCAAACTACAAACAACATTAGAGAACAATGTTCACTAATGTTATTGAATGGGAATGGAAGGTCAAGTTCAAACCTTATTACGAAATTAGAAGATAAAACAGGGACAAGATAATGTAATTGATATGTATTTTTCAAAGACGTGCCCTGAGGCAAGTTAATATGTCAACTCCAGGAAATGATAAGCTCTCTTATATGAGAACAATCTAATTGGATCTGATCAATAAAGCATGGGAATGTCAAACACTGCCTGAAAGTTAGATAGAGGGAGTAGTGGTACAAAGTCCAAACCTAAGAAATATTTGTACAAATCCAGGAAATTATAGGTCCACAGACTTCCTGTCTGCGAAAACTAAGCAGAAAATTAAAGATTAAGGAAAATGAAGTTATATTTAAGAAATACCCAAGTTCTGAATTTGAAAAGGTGAGAACAGAGAGGAAATAGATCTATATTTTGTTGCTATTTCCATTGAAACATTTCCCTCTGTTATAGTTACTGATAAACAGCTAAATACCCCCTGCTGTTTCCACTGGATTTCAGACAGGAAGCATCAACCAGGTGCTGTTGTTGATTATCTGATCACCAAGTTATTCAGCAACTCGGCGTCAATTAATGAAAGGCTGAACCAGTACAGCAGTTTGGAATTGTTCAAGGCGAAGACCTTGGTTGAGAAGAACCAGCAGATTAGCAGAAACGCGTCAGACCAGCAGATTAGCATGGTGGAGGAGGGCAGGTGATGTGGGATTGATTCGCAGCCACAGGTCCTGGGTACCTCAGACTCAATAAGGCTGTGTTCACACAGCAGGTCCTGGTGCTCAGTTCAGATCTTTTATGGTCGTTCGTACAAAAATGCCACTGCAGTCCGTATCGGGTACGTATGATTTACTACCGTAAAGGATCTAAAGTTATTCAGCATCGGGAGCGGCAGCATCATCACAACCATTGCTTCCTTCAGATTCATTTGGCCTCTTCTGGTACCAAATTATGACGCATGTTGGATAAAATCCAACATGGCTGACTCACTGCAGACGCTTAAAGATACACATCTGATTTAGAAGTGGAAGTGGCACGAATTCAATTGTCTTTTGGTGAAAAGAAATGAAATGGGTCATTCAGACTGCCATGAAAACAAGTTGGCTTTGGGTGACATTTGACTGCTTTGTGAACGTTGCAACCAGGATTTCCTCTGAATGCCAAAGTATTCCAGAAACAAACTCGTCACCACTGGACTGATTCCAACAGCAGCAGATTTACATAAGAGAAAAAAGAAGGTGTTGCAATGGTCTAGTCAAAGTTTGGAGCTGAAATAGAGTTCTCCAGAAGCAAACAGTTAACTTCATTTGGAGTTGCCTTTTCTTCCAGTAACGTTTTGTTTTTCAGTTTCTTTCTGATTGAACACGTTTCATATTTTGGGCCTCAAATCTTTATTTTAAACAACGACGTCTTCATAAACTACGACGTCTTTATTCAGATTTTAAAGTGTTGCTTTCTTTTCCTCCTCTGCTTGAGGAACAGTTGAGTCTCTACGGAGGGTAAATCTGCAGCGTCATGCTGTCACTAAATCCCACGTCCACAGATAATCTGAGTGTGAAACAAACTGTTGCTTTCAGAGCTGAGATTTCCAGGATCCACAGTGATCCTCTGCGGCTCTGCAACCTGCTGCAGCAAACGCTACCGAGTGTTTTAGCTGGGGTTGCCTAGCAACTGGGACTCGGCTGTGTCATCATGTTGTTGCAGAAGCACAAAACACACTCGTTACAGACAAACACACACACATCTTGAGCCGAGCCCTCACACCCACCAACCTGCTAAATATAGGCAGGCATCGATGCAGTCAGCAAACCGGCGGCGTCTCAGGGGAAAACATCGGGTCACGGTTCTGTTTAAAGCGTGAACTCGGTGTCATTCTTTTACTTCAACTGTTCACAGCAAACAAGGTGCTCTGATCACCTAAAAGAACAAACATTCAAACTGATTTCAGGCTAAAATGAGGCGATTATGTACAATAACCACTGGAACTGGTCCGAATCACAGAGGTGGTGCGACTGGTGCTGAAGCAGGACGTAAGAGAAGAAGACGGCCTATCAGCCGTTCACAGGTGCTTCAGCTCGGGGAGGAGAAAACTGAAACACTGCTGATGAAGACCTGAGCTGGTTTTTACATGGTGGCTTGGATCTGCAGAGAAAAACTCAGGTTTTCTGTTTACAAAGACAAAAAGCTACAAAAGGAATAGGTGAGAGTTTTTATTCATGTTGATGACTGATTTACATTTGGAGTACAGAAAACACCTGAGCTCTTCCTCTGAGGTGAACAGAGTCTCTGACAATCCTCCATTACATCTTACCTCGGCCGTGATTGGCTGGATAAGGAACCTTCTGATGCAGGAATCAGGAAGTTCAGGCATCCATCCTTGACTGGCACCAGATTCTCAGATTACATCCAACCTCAGTGTTCCCCAGAGAGGTAATGTTGCTGAGGCTGAGCTCAGCGAAGCTCCAGGCCTCCAGGCTCAACGCCAGGCGCCTGGAGGCTGTGTTTTCTAAAGGAAAACACAGATTTTACTTTCTCCACTGGGTGGATCTTCATTCTCTTCTGGGATCCAAATAACTGTAGCAAAAACTCAAGTCCAACTGATGGGAATCATTCTGGCTGTGACCTTGACCTCAGTGTTGCTGCCTCCCACTCCAGCTGGTTCCTACTCCTCCTCTGCATGAATGTTCCCACTGGGATCGCCTTTCCACAGTCCAGGTAAGTAACAGTTGTACTGATGAGAACAATCAGACTTCCAAACGGACCACAGGTCTGAACTGAGCCGTTCACAATGTCATTAAGATGTTGAGTCTTCCGCTTTCTGAATGCTAGACAATAAATTTGGTCAAAACAAATAACAGATTGAACTCATAATAAACCAAACACAGACAGCAAAGACGTTCAAATGCTGCTTCATATTAGAAAACATCTGCTTGGGTCTAAATAGCATGGGAGTGGACCAGCACCTGGTCACCTGGATCCATAGTTTACCTCACCAACAGGCCGCAGTATGTCAGGCTAAAGGACACCGTGTCTGACACTGTGGTCAGCAGCACAGGAGCCCCTCAGGGCACAGTGCTGGCCCTCTTCTCTTCACCCTGTACTCCTCTGACTTCCACTACAACTCGGAGCTGTGCCACATACAGAAGTATGCTGATGACACAGCCATAGTCGGATGTATCAGGGACGACGGAGAGGAGGAATATCGCTGTCTGGTGAGGGACTTTGCTCTCTGGTGCCACACAAACCACCTGGAACTCAACACCTCTAAGACGAAGGAGCTGGTTATAGACTTTGGGAGGTCCAGACCAAAGCCGAGACCAGTCGTACTAGAGGGAACGGAGGTTGAGGTCGTGGGCTCCTACAAGTACCTCGGGCTGTGGCTGGACAGTAAACTGGATTGGTCAAAACACAGCAGCCACCTGTACGGGAAGGTGCAGAGCAGGATGTACTTCCTGAGGAGACTGCGGTCCTTTAACATCTGCAGCAAACTGCTGTGGATGTTCTACCAGTCAGTGATCGCCAGTGTCCTCTTCTACACCGTGGTGTGCTGGGGAGGCAGCACATCCAAGAAGGACGTCCAGACTGGACAAACTGATCAGGCGTGCCGGCTCTGTGGTCGGCATGAAGTTGGACTCTCTGGTGACGGTGGCAGAGGCGAGGACACTGAACAAACTGCTGGACATCATGGACGATAGCAGCCACCCTCTACACGCCGTCATCAGCAGCCAGAGGAGCCTGTTCAGTGACAGACTGCTGCTTCCCAAGTGCCGGACCAATAGATTCAAGAACTCCTTTGTCCCCCACGCCTTCAGACTGTACAACTCTTCACTGGGGGGTCGGAGGTGACACAGGACAGAGGGAAGAAGGAGTAGTTTTTCTACAAATGTGAACTCCATATTTATCAGGCCAAACCATACAGTGCAATATCATATCACTGGTCAATCTATCGACCAAATTGCTATAATTTCCTTTTGTTTGTATTTATATTCTTTGTTTTGTATTTAATTTGTATTTTTTTGTATTTTGTGTAGCTTACTGTGTGCCACATTTTTGCCTGTGAGCTGCTGGTAACTATAATTTCCTGAGGGAGTCTCCCAAGGATCAATAAAGTCAAGTCTAAGTCTCTAAGTCTAAGTCTAAACTGGAATCCCCTTCATGCCTAAGCAATCATAAACTAAAGTCAAAAGGCTTTTTCTGTGCTAGTTAATATGGTGAAACCAAACTCTGCCAAGCATATTCCAACTAGTCCAAAAAATACAGAAAAGGATGTAAAAAAGGCTGCCAGCAGTAAATGTGAGTTGGCGGCTTTGGAAGAGAAAAAACAAAAAAAGTGGGGCGAGAGGCAGAAATAAAAGGCTGGCGGGAGACGAGAAAGGAACATAGAAGCAGAAATAACTGACAGCTGGTGGCAGGGAGCTGAGAGCATGGCAACAAGAGGCTGATAAAAGAGCAGAGAGTCGACCGCATCCCTGAGAAAATAGTTCAAACGACGACCCTGAAGAACAGCAACAAAAGAGAGTAGGTCTCACAGACACGTTGCTACTTCGCCCTTATGTTTATCTAGTATATGGATGAAAGCAGAGGAGCACTCTGCACCTGGACTTTACCTTCATATGAAACCAGAGCACAGCCTGATTGGCAGCGGCAGCTGGGTGGACAACCGATGGAGTGTTTGAGGAGGACAAACACAGACAGAGATGTGAAGCCTGTGATCAATAATTCAGAAGCCAGGGACGGCTGGAAAATGTCAGCCGGCTCTG